AAAAAAAAAAAAAAAAAAAAAGAGTTGGTACAAACATAATGAAGTCTGGGCATTTTGTCTGCAAGTTGAGAAAGCAGCTCTCTCAGTATGGACATCTGGGATGCTGAGGTGAGGCTCGGTATTGCAGTAGGTTGTGCTACCATAAGGGCACAATTTCCACAATAGTCCTATGATCCAACGTGCATTGATCCAGTAATTTGTGCACAGGCTTTTTAAGTGTTAATCATCAGCCTGAGAATGGAGCTATATATAGTGAGAGGAAGAGTGAGAAGAACAGCAGAGTGAGCTGGAGCCTTAACAAACCATGCCTGAAGCCTGCCCTATGTCAAGACTTTTAGTCACTGACCCAATACAGTCCCTGTACTGTTTAGGGAAGTCTGAAGTTGATTTCCTGCTACTTGCAAGTGAAGGCCTCCTGACATACGAGGTAGCCTGTCTGAAATCTTTTCTAAAACTTGTAGTATCTGAAACTTGGTAAACTGACAGTGGACACTCAATGAATACAGGACTTCTGAAATGATATTTCTATTTTGAAAGAAATCTTAAATAATTCCAGTTTTGGATTATTTTCCTCAGTACTGTACTCTAAAGAAGTAACTTGTTTGGGCTCAGCGCCCGTGGCTCAAGCGGCTAAGGTGCCAGCCACATACACCTGAGCTGGCGGGTTCAAATCCAGCCCTGGCCTGCCAAACAACGATGGCTGCAACAACAAAAAAAAGAAAGCCAGGCATTGTGGTGGGCGCCTGTAATCCCAGCTACTTGGGAGGCAGAAGCAGGAGACTCACTTGAGCCCAGGAGTTGGAGGTTGCTGTGAGCTGTGATGTTACAGCACTCTACAGAGGGCCACAGCTTGAGGCTCTGTCTCAAAAAAAAAAAACTTGTTTGCTGTACCCCCCCCTCCCCAAAAAAGTTCTGTTTATGATGGCTCGTGATTCTTAATGTGCTGCAGAGGCTATTGAGGGGACCGATAATTTTTTTCCCCTAATGAGTGACAGAATAAATTCTGCAGTCCAAGAAAAAAGGAAAAAATGGATGTAAAATGTAGTCACAGTTGGCAAAAGTGATTAACCATACATAATGACTCACTTTTTCCT